AGAATCCTACACTCTCATCCTAGTAGAGTGAAAAAAATAAAACCTGAAGATATTCTTTAAAAGTTTTTGAGCGCAAAGCCGCAACGGCTTTTTCATGGAGGAAAGAGTTGTTACTTTGTTTTTGTTTTTAAAAAAGGTTGATTTCAAAATTGAATATATTTAAAATTTGCACGAAAATAATTTAAATGTGCAGATACTTCAGATATTTCAGATTTTAAGTCAACATATTATAAATGATTCTAAAATCTAAAGTATAATAGTCAACGTCATTACAATTAGATGTTTTTTATTAGAAAAAAAGGTATGGGCAATGAAGAATACATTTTTACTTCTAAATAATGTCATATTTCCATATTAGATTTACTTAAGATCTTAACATACTACATTGACGACAAGAAAATTTTGGAAATTAGAAATAAGAATATAAACAAAGACAATATTTTTTCAAAGTTTTGCAGATTAGCTTTTCAAAGATTTAAAAAAGTAACATCTTTTTCCTCTTAGAGAAAAACTACCTTTTATGTTGCTTAAAATAAATTCAGTTTTTTACATATCTTTGTAGTTAATGTAAAATGATTGATTATAATGAAGGATATAAAACAAGGGGAAAGCTTGAAATGAAGCCTTAATTTGATGGAGTTTGTAAATGCCAGAAATATGTGAAAAATGCAAATCATACCCAACTAAAACCAATTATTTGATATACATCATGATATTTTTCTAGGGGAGGGGGGTAAAACAAATTCTAGGGGGTGCAGGGGTAAAAAAAATTCAGCACGCTTCGCGCGCCACGTTGAAAAAATGTACCCACCCCCCTTACAGAATCCTTATTTACGTCACTTTTCATGATTTGTATTATTGCATAACTTTCCCTTACCTTAATCTGTTAATTTAAAACTTACCTTACTTCATTTAGATTAAAACGTTCCTCCTCCAAACCAAGTATTTCACTAAATACAGAAGTTGGAATACAAATACCATAAACTTGGTCTTGTTTTACGACATGATGGCTAAATGGAGGTGGTGGTATGGGGGGGGGGGAGTTGTAAATTTCTTGTCCTGTACTTTACATTGTTATGTAATGGACTGTCATGTCCGTCCCCGCCTTCGATATTATCATTTTAAGCCTTAAACAAATACAAGGGATATTGAAGGGACTGAAAACCTTTAAAAAAACAAATTACAAGACACGTTTATAAAAAAAATTATTCAAGAAATTTAAATTAGAACCGACCAATTCCGAGGTTCCCTGTCTAGTTAGGTTAATTCATTGCGACAACTTAATTGAATTTAATTCGCATTGAAAATTTAAATATTTGCCATAGAATAAGCTACTTGTTGTGGAAGGGGGGGGGAGAGATAAAAGTTTCTACGCAGCTCGCACGAAACTTTCTAATAAACCTTCTCAAAGTCGCATTTGCGCAGTGTAAAAGATTATTCTTTTTATTAATTTGCCTTTAAAATTGTCATTTGACAGGACTAACATCTCAACAAACGAGTCAGTTAGATATCCAAGAAGAAAAAAACATTGATTTTAAGTTTATGGTAATTTGGATTTCCTAGTTTTAATGAATATTAAAATGAAGCCAAGTACATAAGATTCCATTCTACAGGCACTTTCAATCAGCATATTATTAACAAATCATCATATCATGCATTATTTTTCTAAAAACATATTTAAATAATTTTCACTATATAGCCGTTTTGAATGTGTGTGTATACTGGCACTAACTATACAGTACACTGTACTGTACACTGTTCACTGTATACTTACACTTTTGTTCCTAGTGGGTGAATTATGTACATCCAGAGTACCCATGATGTACACAATTATGTTGCAGGGGCTCCAGCGAAAAACACTGCTTTGATAAGTTTTGCAGTTGATGTTTTGTTTTGATAAGTTATGTTGTTAGATAAGTTTTGTGATGATAAGTATTGTTGCTGATAAGATATGTTTTGATATGTTTTGTGGTGATACGTTTTGTGGTGTAAAGTTTAGTGACGATATGTTTTGTATGCATGCTCTATATACCAAATAAATAAATAATAATAAATTTTATTTTGCTTTAACAATTTTTTGTTTGAACATTTTGTTTGTTTTGTTCTCAATCTCAACCATTCGTACTAATTTTAATAATGGGCAGGAAGGTAAATTTAAAAAGAAAGTTTCCCACACACAGTAGTACGATCGATACAACACCTTCTAAGACTAAGAAATTTTAAAAAACCATAGTGAAACATAAGTTCTAATGGCTTTGGATTTTGAAAATATAGAATTAAAACGTTTTATATAAAAATTAAAATTTTCGAACTTTTTATAGGAATGCTTAAAGCTGTAAGACACTATATACAGAGTAAAGACAAGACACTAAAGAGTAAAGACACACGTTTGTAATATTTTTCAACATTAGTTGATAGTTTTAGGGCAACAATCTAGCACATTTTTACACTGAAAATATATTGTTAATGGAAAATACTAATGTAATTATGATTCAATCTTAATAATGTTAAAACTTTCAGTGAAACAGAATTTTATAAATGTCGTCTTATCTACCCTTCAGAAATCTGACAATACGTGCCCCAATACAAGAGTTGAAGCATAGAGAAAAGAAGGGAAAACATAAAAATTAAAAAATAAACAAATCGTCTTATTATAATTCTTCAGAACCCAATATCAGCATCAAGTTTGATAAAAGTTAGTGATAAATTGAAAATTTAAACAAAGATTTTTATTTTAGGACTAAAACTTTAGCAGGAAACTTCTACATACGAAAAGAAAATTCCATAATTAGTGGCGGAAATAGGGGGGTTATTTACCCCACCCCTCAAATCCTTGGGGGTAATAACCCCCCCCCCCCCCCCCCCC